TAACCGAAGTCCCATTTGAATGTATGTGAACCCATATTTTGTATAGTATGATATGCATATCAAAATGAAGCTCTTTTCTTGCTCTATGTCAATGTGTACTTTATTTTCATATTGCAGTTGAAAGGAACTAAAAATTCAATATGCAAGGGAAATCAATTGAAAAATATGCCTTTTTGAGCCATCTACAGGGCCAGGGACATGTACATGTATGATGATTACTGTACAATCATGTACAACTACATGTACATTGTATACATATAGGTGTGCTGGTAAATCCAACAATTTTGAAGCCAACATAAAAAAGGAAGAAAAAGCCCCCCCCCCCTTGGCTGCATTTTCTTGCATGTGTGCAATAATATCAAGAGTACATAACCCCCCCCCCCCCCCCAGAGTGTGCAACGCCGATCCAGCTCTGTGTAGGGTCTTGGTCGAGCGTAATCGGATCTTCTGATGTCATGCGTACACTTCACACCAGCGCAAGGCCGGTCTCGAGGCAGGGCACCATTGTTTTTGATCCAAGAGTACCCGCGACTCCCCGGGTTCCCCTCAGATGTGTACGGTAGTATGACGCAAAGATCCGATTCCGCTCGACCAAGACCCTATGCAGAGCTGGATCAGGCGTTGCACACTCTGGGGGGTTATGTACTCTTGATAATATCCATCACCAGTGCACCATAGGTTCTGGTACTTCTGCATGACAGGTATTGTACTTGACTGACAGGTACTTGAAATAGCTGTCAAAAGCCCAGAAAGTCGTTATTCAAGCAGTGAATATGACCACGGGGCACTAAAAGCATGTCGCTATACGAGAATTGTCGTTATTCAGATAGTCGTTATATCCGAAGTTAAATGTATACAGTTAGATGGGACTTTGCTCTGGGCATGGAAATTCGGTCGTTATTCGCGAATTGTCGTTATATCCGCAGTCGTTATTAGCGAAGTTGACTGTACATGTACATAATAGAATTTTTTATGGAAATGCGGGCACTGTCAACTATGCAGCATGCTCATGTGTCAAAACCCCATGCTGGAAGTATTTCCTTGCCTTTCATGTGTCGATTTAAGAAAAAAATCGATCGTATCGCATACTTATAGTGATGCATCGGATATAGTGATAAAATCACGGAAATCAAAAGGGTACGCTATAGCCAATGCAGACTGTACTACACACAATTTCACGCAAGGGTAGGACCAACAGACACTGACTACACGAGATGTGTCGCATCAGTAGTTAACTCCGACCCCGGGGCAGAAGTCACGACCCCACCAGCGTGGTTCTCCCGCTGAAGACCAAGCTGCAAAGCGCGTGGCTCCAGTCAGCAAACAGTGATGTCTGCTGCCAGCCATATACCCCTGCTAAACCCCAATGCCACTTCCTTCCAGCCTCGAAGGTCCCGGGGTTCCCAAAGAACAACCAACTGCAACAACCTCAAACTGTTCGTCACTAATGCCTTCGGGCTCAAGTCTAAGTTTGGCGAGTTTCAGCACTGCCTGCAGAGTACCCAGCCGGATCTTGCCGTTGTTACAGAGACAAAGCTCACTGCCGACAAAATGAGTTAAGCCGAATGCACAATCCCGGGTTATGCAGCACCAATCCGCTGTGACCGCACAGGCCAAGGCGGTGGAATGCAGTGTGGGTAAAGTCAGACCTGTGTTTCCGCCATTCGGACTCCATTGACTGCAAAGGCTTCGAAGTCATCTGGCTTCTTCTTGAGACGTCTTTCCATCATAGTCTGCGCAGTGTACCGCTCTGGGAGCACCAGTGGCTCTGACTGCAGCCTCGTGGAGTACCTGGAGGACACCTTGGAGGACACTCGGCAACTCGGAGACTACTTGCTGATCACTGGGGATTTCAATGTGCACAGCACCGCCTTGCTCAACAGCAACAGGACTGCCCCAGCAGGCGACGCATTGGAAACTTTATGTGCAGCGTACGGCCTTGACCAGCTCGTCACTGAGCCTACGCGTGGAACCGCACTCCTCGACCTTGTTCTCTCCGATCTGCCTGGAACAACCTCATCCACAGTAGGAAAACCTCTTGGCCGATCGGATCACTCTACGATCACCGTGGACTTTTCCTGTGTTCTCCCCTAGTGTGAGGAATCGTCATCCAGGACTGTGTGGAGCTACGGAAGGCTGACTGGCAAATACTCAGAGCATTTTACCGCTCCACAGACTGGCTAGCTATGACCAGTGCCAGCGATGATCCTAACACCGCATGGGCTAGTATATCGTCTAGAATACATGATGGTATGCACCGGTTTATTCCTCACAAGGAACTTGTGACCAGGGCTTCTGATTCCAGGTGGTGGACGCCGGAATGTAGTAGTGCAATCGCACACAAGCATTCAGCGTGAAAGAGGTGGAGCCGCTCAAAAGCCAGTGAGACACTGAAAGCAGCCTATGTCCAGGCAGTTACCAATGCTGTGTCAACTCTGCAGCAAGCCCAACT